GAATTTGCGAGACGAAGAGGCCGCCATGAATCAGGTAAAACAATATGTTACATGCAATTTGATTGGTCCAATCGCTTGTAGTTAACCAATCGCTGGGCCGTATATAATCGAGCAAAGACTCCCGCAACAAATAATGCCTTCAATGATCTGATTAGTTGAAGCTTTCATACACGTCCAATCGCAGGGCTGTTTACAAACGGAAAACAGAGACTGTTCGGGAGAGCTCGTGAAAACTCGACGATAAGGTATCTGACCGCCCCTAAATTTTTCTCAACGGATTTAGACGATTCACAAAAATGATCAATTTAAGAAATAAAACGGCGGATTTCCGCGGATCCGCGGAAAATTGCCATGTATGAATGGCTGTGCAGATGGGCAAGGGGTGTTTGTTTATGACAAAACAAAATGTTTCTCATTATGTTTGAATGTGATCCCTTGACATTAAATTACAAACAATTCAGAGACCCCTGACGACAAGTGACAAATTTGGAACATGTTCTCCCTCGCCCGGACGCGGGTCACCGGGGCTGTTCTGGTTGACACGCCTCTAAAACATCACTTGGATATCGGGAACATTGCCTCAGGATTGGCAGATCAGGGTGGTGTCCCTCTTTTCAAGAAAGAGGGGCCAGAGTGTGTATTCCAATTAGTAATCACACACCTCAGCCTCCCTGGTCAGGTCTATTCGGGGGTGCTGGAGAGGCCAGGATCGACAACTATCACTGGAGCAGTTCGAATTCGAGTGTGAAGCGGTTGGGATGAAAATCAGAACTTCCAAATCTGAGACCATGGTCGAAAGGCGAAGTCTCAATTTACCAGTCGAACTACACACTGGTAAATTACGCTCACATATGGTCACGAGCTGTGGGCTGTGAACGAAAGAACAAGATCCCGGATACAAGCGGCCAAAATGGATTTCTTCCGTAGGGTGTCCGGGCTCTTCCTTAGAGATAGGGTGAGAAGCTGAGTCATCCGGAAGGGACTCAAAGTCGAGCCGCTACTTCTCCACATTGAGAGGAGCCAGATGAGGTGGCTCGGGCATCTGATTAGGATGTCCCACCGGCAGGAGGCCCCAACACAGGACACGCTGGAGAGACTATGTCTTCCGGCTGGCCTGGGAACACCTTGGGATCTTTCCAGAAGAGTTGAAAGGTGTGGGTGGGGAAAGGGAAGTGTGGGCTTCCCTGCTAAAGCTGCTGCCGCCGCGACCCAATCGCGGATAAGCGGTAGAAAATGCTATGGTACACACAATTCTCAGTTAATTCCCATAATTAAATCGTTTCCAATTTCAAATACTAATATCTTAGCTTCCCATGGAAATTTACCAGATCCTTTGCGAGAACATGTCACCTAAACATACCTGATTAATCTGTAGGGCCTCTTTGAACCAATCAGAAGCCTCGTAGAAATTGCCTTTGTCACGTGCCATCGCACCAAGTCGCAAATAGCCTGGAAGCCAAAAACAAACGTTGCACAATATATTGTGTGATGGATATTAGGTTGTATATTTGGTGTGCTTACAGTCCACATAGTTGGGATGTTCCCTCAGAATGTTCTTGTAGAGCTTCTCCGCCTCATGGAATTCGCACATGGCCTCGTAGAGACGCGCCAGGTTGTAGGAGGTGGTGACTGAAATGGCGTTGTAGTAGTGCTCGTCGTGCTCACCTTCGGCTTTGGCCCGATCCAGAGAGGCCAGGAAGTATTTCTGGAGGAGAGAGGACATTTTATGTTTAGATTTACATCTGTTTAAGGAAGACTGGGATTTAGGATTCAGTTGCACTCGAGTGAAGAAAAAAATAAATAAATAAAATAATCAGACATTTATTGAACAGGACTAACAGTCAAAGGCGCAAATTGAAAATCAAAGGACTCACATGGATCAGACACTAACACCGGACGAACTGGTCTATATGCCCCTAACAGTGCAGTCTTGAAATCAAATGCAGTATAAATCATGCCTTACTTATTATTATAATTAAATCATAATTTGCTCATGTACAGCACTTTGTATACAGCGGTGGTTGTTTTCAAGTGCTCTTTACAATACAGTTGAGTAAAATATCGAAATAAAATAAAAATAAATTAGTAAAATACTTAAGTTTAATCACAGAAAATTACTTTTCATTATTTGGCATCTCTCAGATACTTTTACTCAAGTTAAATTCTACAAGAGGAATTTAACTACCACCCATGTCATTTTCTGTTCAGATATTTGCAGTTTTTACTCAGGCATCATTTTCAGGTATTTTAAACAAGATTTTTTAAAGGCATACAACAGACGTGTGTGTGTGTGTGTGTGTGTGTGTGTGTGTGTGTGTGTGTGTGTGTGTGTGTGTGTGTGTGTGTGTGTGTGTGTGTGTGCGTGCGTGTGTGTGTACCTTGGCCTCTTCCAGGTTGCCCAGCCGGAAGTGAAGAGCCCCCAGGTTGTTGAGGATCTCTGGAGGCACGTCCGCCTGCACCTTCTCCTGCAGGATGCGGGTGGCTGTGCCGTAGGCAGACAGCGCACCTTGGATGTCGGTCTGCTCCAGAATCTGAGCCAGCTCGATCCAGGCTTCCACATCGTCAGGGTACTGCTCGGTTACCTTCTTGAGATGACCCTACGGAGCAGATATGGATATTTCTTGTAATAACAATCAAAAATTATTTATGGATCATTTTTAAAAAAAATACTCAAACTTAGTTGCACCATCCAACCTTTGATAACGGAAATAGTGGTACCTGGGGAGCTAAGTATTTTTTTTGGTTGAGAGCTGGTCGTCAACCAGTTGTATGGCACATATACAGTAGACAGAACAGTCGAATCGAGAATCGCAGATGTGCGAGGAAAACTGATAAAGGCATGACTGAGTTGCTGAGTACTTAGGAGACATACTTTGGCAATGTCTCGCTTTTCCTGGTCGTCAGACGTTGCGTAAAGGGAGCCCAGAATTTTGATGGTCTCGTAGTTGTTGGGGTAGGCCTTTAAAACCTTTTCGAAGCACTGGGCTGCATTCTCTTTGTCTCTTCGATAAACGTACATCTGCCCCAGGCCGAAGAAGGGCAACACAAAGGTGGACGAGGCAAACTGTGTGGCCTGGTAGTAATACTGAAAGGCTTGGTCGTAGTCCTCCTAAGGCCAGAGAGGGAGAAATGAATGACATGTATGAGTGTGCACGATTCTCATTCATTCAGGTCAATGTGCAAAGCTTGAATCGATGCAACGGTATTCCGCCGGTTTGTTGAAGAAGTTCCGACTTTAATCAGTTAATCCTTTCATCCGCTCTAAATTTTTAAGTCTCCCTATTTAGGTCTCTGATTGGTGTGTGACGTGGATGGTCACAATAGGGTTGTTGTTGTTGATAAGGATAATTTAAAGATGCATTTCAGACTCACAGACCAGCTTTGATGAATTCTGACCCACACCAAGGACAAAATCCTCAGGAGCAATTTTGTTGATGCATAGCACAATATAGGAGAGCAATTTGTACGGGCCCATATTCAGCAGTTCATTTGCATCTTGAAAAGGGAAATTCCTTTGAGGGCATTGCTGCCTGATTTCTGGACAGGTAGTATCATTTATTCTAAAATTATTTGACAGCTGCAGCCCTACCCGCCAGACTTAGCTGGCAAATGAATGTCCTACAAAGTTTATTCCAATCAGTCATTCAACTTCTGACTCTGGAGTAATATTACGTCCATGTGGACAAATGATCCCTGCGAGGCTTTGATGCAGAAATTTTGCTTTGACTTTTTTTCCTTTTTGTATTCATTCTTTAGTTATTCAATGAATCGCTTTGGCCCTACAGCAACAATCCTATCGTGACTGCACCCACTACAGACATGAATAGGGAGACTCTTAAATTTCAAAATGTAGATCTGAAGAAGCCTTTGGATTGAAGTTGAAACGTCTTCACCCAAAAAAAAAAAAAAAAAAAAAAAAAAAAATCCACAATGTAAGTCCAATTGCCTTGAAACAACTTTTGGGGATAAACAACAAAGGGAAGCGACTTCACAATGACCGTAGGCGCTACCTGCACATGAAAAGATCGAGCCAGCTGGTAACAACTCTCTGCCTGCATGGCCTCCACTTCCGTGTTGTGGAAAGCATGCAGGGCCAGATGCTGCACTTTGCTGTAGTCCTGAAAGCAGAAAAGGGCAAACCATGTGAAACACAGTCAAAGCGAGGTCGAGTGAGCGCATCGAGAAGCTCGTGGCTACCTTTTTGAAGAAGAAGTGGTTGGCGAGGTGGTTGAGCACCATGGGGTTGCTGGGGTCGATGGTATAGGCGCGCGACAGGAGCTGCACTCCGTTCTTGATGGAATCGGCCTCCTTGTTGTTGAGTTCGAGCACGGCCAGGCCAACGAGGGCTCCCACGCATTTGGGGTTGAGCTCCAGGGCGCGGCCAAACGCCAAGCGAGCTTTCTCCAGTTTGTTGAGCTTGACGAAGCAGTGGCCCATTCCCAGCCTTACCTCAGCTGGTCAAATACAAAATCAATGCGACAAAGCATGTCATCTATGCATGGCTGGAGAAGAAAATTAGCACACCATCTTACAATCTTTACCTGGACAGCCGGGGTTTGTGCGCAGAGCCTTTTTGTAGTACGCCAGTGCTCCTCTGTAATCCTTTTTATTGAAGGAGATGCACGCCTTACCTAATAAACAACAAAGGGACGTGTTCATTCAGTGAATGAGGGTACATTATTTGATCAAATGTGTCTATTTTTTTTTTTTTTATGATGGACCAAGCTCCTGTTATATTTTTTATATTAATTTTATTTACCGGTATTTGTCTCTCTTCTCTAGTGGCAGGTGCTGGAACAACGCTTCTATGTTATCGTTTCTTCTACTATTCAATTAATATGACATTGTACACTCTCCTAGTGATAAAGAAAAACAAAAATGTAAAGATAGGTAGGAAGGTAATGCTTTTTTGCATGTTTGTGTACTTGGAAATTCCTCTCTGTTGTAAAGTTAAATAAATACTAGAGGGCCAAGTATTGTAAAACAGTTTTTAAGTTAATCAGTTAATCGTTCATCTGAATTCAACTTACCAAGTAAAGCAGGGATGTTATTGGTGGACTGATTGAGGACAAATTGGAACTGAGCGTCGGCCTGGTCCATCTTGTCTCCTTCCAGCAAACAAAAACAAGCTCTTCCCAGCAAATGGTTCTGAGTGAGACAAGATGTGTTGTATTTATTTTAAACACTGGACACGCGTTCTTTTGTCACCTGCCCTGAGATGTTGTTCTCACCTGATCATACATAATGATCTTGTCGGCCATTGTGTACAACAGCGTGGCCTGCGTGATGAGCTCTTTCTTGGCATCTTTGTTCTTCTCTTTGCGTGCCTGTTGCACATAGTAAGCTGCCAGAGTGTCCAGACATGTCATCTGATCCTTTTCGTGGTCGCTGTAGTCCAGGTTCCCGTCGATACGCGCTGCCTCAAGGAGTTTAACAAAGTCCTCTGTTTTGCCCTGCTTGTAGTACTCCAGCTAAGAGAAGACAACAAGGTTGTGATATCGTTTCAAATTACTTTTTCAATACTTACACTCTTAAGAAAAGGTTAGGGATACTCTGCTTTGTGGTGAAATTTCAGGATGCACTATAATTTACACAAGTGAATAAAATCTATCGGAACTTTTGACTGCACAAGCCCAAGGGTTCAATTTTTCTGTACTTTTTGTACAACTTGCAGTTCTCTAACAATGGCACTGAAGAGCAAAATTCACAACAGGTGATCCATAACTCAACCAAAACATATCCAAGGACATCTACTTCTATGCATTTCTGTGAGAAATCTATTCTCTCAAATTAGACTTGATTGTATCATTATGGTAACTATAAACATATTCACATTTTATTTGTAAAACCTTACAATTCAAACCACCTTATTTAAAGTAAAATATATGCTTACCGCCAATGCAATCCATATGTGCAGCTGTGTGTGCTCCTGCTTCAGGATACTGATGACCTCGTCGCCTTCGGGCAACTGGTCGAAGTCAAGCTCAATTACCTGCAGGATGAATTGCGTTACACTTAAATTAAGATTTGATAAAACGGTCCAAATAAGATCGTCCCAACCATCTGCAAATGTGTTCGTTCCGTTTTGGTGGACAATGACAGGGAGCAAGACCTGGTTGCAATATTTCGGTTACTTTTTGGGGGGATGTTTTGTTTTTGAAGCTCTTGATCATCAAGATGATTCATCATCATTATTATTTACTTTAGATTGTCACAACATCCTGACGGTGTATATTAAAATACAGACATGCTGGATTAGACATTCGGTTTGTATATCGACGTCACTCAAGCCACTTGCAGAACTGAGCAGCACTACTGATGTTAGCAATAATTAGCACGCACGGCGAGCAATGTAGCAGTGGTCGTTTAGGAACCGACATAAAAACGAAGAGGTTTACCTCATCTGTGTCCCGCAGAGGGATCTCGATAGACCCCCGAGACATCTTGGAGGAGGAAAAGCCCAAAGGCAGCTAAACTGGGAATTCAAAAACCTGCGCAGCCGATAAGGTTGGTCGTAAATTGATGCCCTAAACCGGAAGTCAGCACACAGTGTGTGCAGCCTAAAACTTTGTCCGATCGGGAAAAATAATATTTGTGTCTGTTTTACTGACGCAGGTTTGCAAAAATGACTATTGACATTCTTGTTTCTTCGTTGATGGAATTCTGAATGAAATTATTCATGTAAAAAAGCAACAACAAATAAAATTCATGTTCACGTCTTCCTTCTCCACTCATTTCATCTTCTATTACTACATATTCTTTTTCTTCTGCATTGCCGCATCCTACTGGATAATATGAAATACTGTATATAGATATGAAATTGCAACTTGGTCTGTATGTACAATTATGTAAATGTTTTTCAGACAGTGGTGGTAACAAAATGCAAATCTTTACTGTACTTTGACTTTTCAAGTATACCGTATGTCCTTTACTTATAGTACAGTATTTATTTTAATGAGGGCTTTTTACTTTTACTCCGGACAGATATCTTTACTTTGTTTCTACCCATCACTTTCCCAAAATCGGGTTGTTTTTTTGTACCTCCTCAAAAGACAACACACCATAAAATTGTTTTGTGTTGAGACAACTATACATGAAGACGAGAATGCTAGAATTGCTGCTTTTGGCACTGGTTTAAGCAACCTGAAGTTTGAATTGGTCACAAGTTAACCCACATAATTTTTTACGATGTACAGTACCAGTTAAGTTTGCAAACAGTCTGTCAGTCAGTGTTATGGGGGATTATTTATAAATCTCCTGAATTCTAGATTGATACTTCAGTCATCAACATCTTCTTTTTTTACGATGTACGGTACCAGTCAAGTTTGCAAACAGTCTGTCAGTCAGTGTTTTGGGGGATTATTTATAAATGTCCTGAATTCTAGATTGATACTTCAGTCATCAACATTCTGAAGAAATGCTGATGGCATTACAGTATTTGGGAAACAAAAAATGTGAATCAAAACAGAATGTTTTACAAATTTTCGAAGTAGGCACGTTTTTTTTTCAGCTTTGCACATCTTGGTATTTTGTCAGTCAGTTTTATGATATGGATGTTGCTCTATGACCGGAAATGACTTTCGGTTCACAGCTGTGTATTAACAAGAGTTAATCTTTTGAATTTCCTGAACACTCAATGTGCTTTAGACCATTTGAGTGTGTGGGTGTTTCCAAACTTTTAACTTGCAGTTTATGGTTTTCGTGCGCTAGAGGAGGCAATTTAAATGCAAACCAATTAAATGTACCATTATCACAGGCAGTCATTTTGGCAGCGGTGAGGGGCGGGGGGGGATTGTGTTGGTTGCGGGGGTGTCAGCTGGTTTTGATGTGAAGTGCATACAAGCACAGGAGCATCTTGAAGGCTTCTTTTACGTGAATCAGAGGACAAGCCAAATAACAATGACAGTAATATATGTTTAAGCGTTCTTATTATCTGTCAGACGAACTGCGTTGGATCAAGAAGTAAGAATTGAACTTTCTCTATTGAAATATGTGTGGTGGCTTACACCATTGATTGATGTGATTTTAATAGTGGTTTAATAGACGAGCACGCCTTGTATCGTAGACGAGTCTTTTTTACAGTACCATGTAAAGATCTTAACTTTCTTTTTATACACTGTATTTATGCTTCATTCTACTATTTGATTTTCTATATTATTTTACAAATAATCAAGACCACAAACATCATTCCCTCTGACGAGATTAATTCAATCCTTTTTTTCCATCAGATATGTCCCACTTGCTGCCATTTTGTGTGTTAAAATCCTCAACTTAAAAAAATAAGTAGCTACTCCTCTACTTGATTCCAGTTACAACATATGTAGAAATGTGACAGTCCATCAGTCTCTTTGATGTACGGGAATCCAGCCAATTGGCACAATGTCTGACAGCAATGATGGTAAGTAATTCAGGGACCTTATACACTATTATCCTTTTGGCAATGTATTATATTTTTCAGAGGTTGGTACTAACATGCTATATTTACTCTGTTACGTTGACTGAAGTAACTTTTTGTACTTTCCAAGTCACATGACCGCACACAAAATCTCTGTGGCCCCACACAAGAAACAAAGTTTTGCGTGCCTACACTCTAAAAACATTTGAGTAAAAAATAACTAACGTCGGGTTAAGTTTGATCCAATTTCTGTGTTAAAAAAAGGACTGAACCACACTCGGGTCAATTTGAGCCAAAGTATTGGGGTATTCAGTTTTGACCCGAGTTTTAGGGTACAATGAATATAACAAATTGGGTCCAGGCCTTCATGCTCTGATTAAAAAATTATACATCCATAGTGACTCAGCACTTGAGAAGTTTTGTTCACCAACTCCCGACTTTATTCTTAGTCAAGCAATTGTTTGGACGATGTGTTTTTATCTTTATTTGATTCATATTCTAAAGTAACAGTACTCTTACTTAAATAAAATGTTGGCACTTCTACCCATCTCTGAGCTTTACATCCTGTATGTATAAACTACATGTCTGAATGTTTAGTGTGGGAGTTTCCAGACAGTGGGATGAGGGACGAACTGGAGGATTCAAGTGATGCAAATGAATTCTCTGAACATGAACTCCTTGACATCATGTACAATGCATGTAACGCTTCCAGCACAGGTGAGTTAGCAAAGATGAATACTGGAAAACATTGACAAAAAGTGTGTACCATTAGATCCATCTTGTCCATCCCCATCAGGAGAGGTGTCGGCGTCGTCCATCATACAATACCTGCACAATGTGACGTCCCAGAGTCATCAGCAGGGCCGTCTTACATCCTTACAGCAGCTGCTGGACCCCGAATGTCAGGACCCCATGGTGAGCAGAGAGATGTTCCACCTCACTATGAAGGAGTGGATCGCCCAGTGCAGTCAGGACAGGTACAAAGTATTTCTAAAGCATCGCCTGCAACTATTAAAGACAAACATTTAGCAAATGCATTTTACATTCTGTCACTCAGTTTACAAAGGCATTCTGCATCATGTACAGTATTTGGATCCTGGTCTGGAATATAATTGGACAAAAGAATCTCACTTCCACATCTACTCAAAGTTGAATTTGGCTTACTCTGGCCAAACTAATCAGAGGACAGAAAAATGTTTAGGTCATCAAGGGGCCAGCACACTGGCCCTATGGGGAAGAATCTGAAATCTGAGTGATTAAAGAAACAATTCCATTGTTAATATATTTTCAAGTTACAACTGATCCTGAACACTTGGAGCAAATAAGCTTGACTGGTAACGCATAGAGGCTGAAATGTTATTGGACAAAACAAAAAACAATCTAACATCTGCATACACGCATTGGAAGCAGTGCTGTCAGGCGAAATGCTACCAAATGAAGGGAATAGATTGTTGGTAATAAATGAATACAATTTTGTGGAGCCAATGTTGGGATTTCGATTACTGATATAGCTCAGTGCTTCTGAGAAAACACTGCTGGTCCAGCAGTGCTGTTTATGATTGATGAGACAATTATTGCATGTGGACACAAACATCTCTGTAGATGTTAAATTATGTTTGTGTTTGAGTTCTATCATTTTGCTCATAAGTGGGAAGTGAGTGTTGGTAATTTATGCATTGACTATGACTTGAAACTTGGAATTCTTTTTGCTGTTTAGAGGTGAGGTGCACATTAGTGGAGATGCATCTTATCCAGATGCGTCAGAACTGCCAGTTAATGGTAAGATGACTTTATTATTTTTAATCAGATCTCTTAAATAGTTTTAATCTGACAAAATGGATCAACCAAATGCTCTGTCAGGTTTTGAATTCTCATCTCCTACGACAAAGCCTACTCCCACCGACAGCCAACAGTGTGCCTGGTTAGTTTTTGTTTCCTTCCGTGTCATGTGTTATTCTTATATTACCCTCTAAACTGCTCATTTGGTTTAAGCGATGCAAAAGCCCTGTCAACAACAGTGTCCGAACTGAAGCAAGCTCACCGCAAGCTGAGCGAACAGAACAGCAGCCTGCTGAGGACGGTGGCTCAATGTGAAGACGTCAACCTGCAGCTCACCCTGGAGATCACTGAGCTGAGAGCAAAGCTGGCCAGGTAAAATATCTCCTTTGAGCGTATTAAACTCGAGACTTTATTATCTGCGATGAAGGAAGTATAATCTATCGTGCATGACAACACTCTACAGTACTATCAGTGCAGTTGCTGAGCTCCTTGGAAGATTTATGGTGGAGTTGAATATTCTTCTTTATTTTGGCATGAGTAGTTCCCAGCGGTCAGCAGTTCGAGCCCGATCCATAACAGAGGAACTCGAGGAGACCCGTCGGGCTTTTAAAGAGGCCCAGGAGAGAGCCAGCAGGATGCAAGCTACTTGCACCAAGCTGGTATCTCTTAAAAACTTAAAATGCTAACACAATAAAAGAAAAGTACATTGAGATTTTTTGGTCTATTTCAGAGCAATGAGGTTGAATGCCTGAAGGTTCACATAAGGAGGCTTGAAGACAAGGTAATGCAGATGTTCTTATGGAAATACAATGTTGCTAGAGTTACTTTTTCATGGCTTACCAGTACACCAATTTCACAGATATACCAGCATGATCCAAACAGAAATGAAGACACCGGAGAACTGTTTTAACTTGTGTGAACCTTGCAAAATGTATTTCCTTTACAAAATGGTCATCTCCACAGAATGAAAAACTCTCCTTTGAAAAGACATGTTCAGAGGACGGCATCAACAAACTTCGCAAAGTCAATGCTGAGTTGAAGGTAGGAACATGCCAGTCAAATTCAAGTTTCTGCGCTCTGGTTTTGTTTCATTATGAATTCAAATACCGACAGGCTGAGCTCCAAGAAGCACTGGTCATGCTGACTCTGAAAGACAGAGAAATGACGAAGGTTGGTTTCCTGATCAATAAAAGTGTATTTTATTTCATGTCCAAATCACCTTAGTGTTTGCTCCTGTGTAGAAAGACATTGTCATGGATAAAATGAAGAGCTCTCATGTGGAAAATCATAATCTCATCGAGGTTGGTTTCGACACTGTAATCAGGAGCAGGTCAGCTTAAATATGATGCAGGACTAATCATTTTCCATGCTGTCACGTCACAGGGCGTG